CTCCCCCCAAAACTAAAATGTAATCATACACATATCCATTTTATTCCCAAGGATATTGTCTCTTGCTTGATTTGCACCATTGTTTTTTTTTTGCCATCATCCCTTTCGGCAGCAGGTTTGAGTGATCTCTTCGTGATCAGAGTAACAGGAGATGATGGGGTACACGTTTATACTGCAGGTGCCACGACGCGTATACCCAGATAGCACCATGAAGGCATGAAGATGCAGAGCTGTTTTAATCAAGGTTAAAGCGGAGTGAAATATTGTAAAGCAGAGTCTGTTCTGCTCTCTCCATGGTATACCACAGTAAACATGGTATACCTCAGTAAACGTTTCCGAGGCGTGTCTTCTTGTGGCTGTAAGAGCCGGCTTGTTTCAACCTCAGCCTGATGCTGAGTTGGAAGCATTCTTTCACAAAAGCAAGGTGACGTTCAGATTCTGAGCACTGAAAGCATCACGTGATCCAAGTCCTCAAAAGCAACTTGGCTCATTCAGCCCCGCGGAGTTCTTCAGATTCGACAGGGAGAGGTGAAACGTGAGGACAAGAGGAGAAACTCCAAGAAGGGCATTTAAAAAACAAGGAAGCGGGGGGGGGGGGCACTTCTTTACACAAAGGGTGGTGGGTGTGTGGAACAAGCTCCCCAGCTGTGTGGTTGAAGCAGACACTCTGGCTTCTTTCAAGAAACAGCTGGACGAGATCATTGGATCAGTTAGTTACTAACAACCAAACGCCAGATGGGCCGTCACCTTTTTTTTTTCTCCGTCCAAGTCAGGTTTGGCCTCTGGTCAGCAGGCAGGGCTGCAGGTCCGAGCTATGACAGCGTTCGGAGAAGTATTTTATTTTTTATTTTTGTGCGAGCTTCCAAAGGGAAATGGTAAACCTTTCACGAAGAGCAAACAACCCAGCTGCTGATAATCGCTTGCTTGTGACAGATCGCCATGCGAATCATTTCCGCCGGGTGGGGGGGGCTGTTTACTCCTCTGGCGCTCCGCGGAAGCGGGGGCTCAGGCTCAGGCGGGGGTCAAGGGCTCACCGGAGGTGACTTGACCGCTTCCCCCTGCCGGGCCGGACTCTGACATCCGGAAGGTTCCGTTTTCAGTGACTGCGGCCGCCTACCTGCCTCCTGTTTCACGGAGAAGTGAAACCGGTTTTGTAAGCCGCGTTAACCTCCCCGCCAAAAAACAACAAGTGGACTAAGAGCGACTGCGTTTCAATACAGCGGGACAGAGCCACGCCGCTGAGAAAAGTGAGAAAACAGCCCCCTACTGGCCGTCTTTGATATATTACCACTCTTATCTAGCTTTTTATTAACTTTGCTCTCACTGCACGCCGTCTGTTTCATGATAACCTGATGTTTCCAGGTGGTTGTATTCAAGGTTAGTAGGTTTTGCATTAAAAAAAGCATTTTTTAAATAACTAATTTTTAATTATCTGATTAGTTGCTGAGCAGCCAGGTGGCACCGTGGTGAGCATTGCTGCCTCGCAGAGCTGGGGCCCGGGGTTCAATTTTGGACCTGGGGACCTGTCTGTGTGGAGTTTGCATGTTCTCCCTGTGTTCGTGTGGGTTTCCTCCAGTTGCTCCAGTGTCCTCCCTGTCCAAAGACATACTGGTAGGTTAATTGGCTCCTGGGAGGACTGGCCCTGGTGGGAGTGTGTGTCCTGTGCAGGGTGTGTCCTCTCTTGCACCTGTTGCTTGGCAGGATAGTCTCCAGCTGCCCTGTGACCCTGAACTGGATCAAGTTCAGGGTCACAGGGCAGAGGTTAGAAAAGAGATGAAAGAATGATTGGTTATTAAAGTACTCCACTTTGCACAGATGGTATGTCTAGCCTATGTGCTAAGGTCCCGCAGTGATATGTAG